TACCTCATATGGTGTGGTCTGAACAGATTTAGACGGTATCCTATTTAGAAGGTATGCCGATGTTTCTAAGGCATATCCCCAAAACGATTTTGGAAGTTGAGTCTCACTCATCATAGACCTAACCATGTCTAACAAGGTCCTGTTTCTCCTTTCGGAGACACCATTTTGGTGTGGTGTGTAAGGAGCAGTAAACTGCGAGAGAATTCCATTCTCTCTTAGATAATCCTAAAACTCATGGCTTAAATATTCACCACCACGATCTGATCGTAATGTCTTAATTATCTTGCCACGTTGTTTCTCTACTTCATTCCTAAACTCTTTGAACTTTTCAAAAGCTTCGGATTTATATCTCATCAGGTACACATACCCAAATCTTGATTTGTCATCCGTAAAGGTAATGAAATAGGAGTATCCTCCTCTAGCCTCAATAGACATTGGGCCACATACATCAAAGTGAATGAGTTCTAATAACTCACTAGCCCTATGACTCTCAATCCCTTTGGGCGTGTGATGAGTCATTTTCCTAGCTAGACAAGATTCACATTGTCCATAGGATTCCAAATCCAAGGAATCTAGGTATCCATTTGCATGCATCCTAGACAATCTTGTTTCATTTATGTGCCCTAGTCTATAGTGCCAAAGATATGATTGATTATCTATCCTAGGTCATTTCACATCCATTTTGAGCACTTCAGTTCCCATTTCTAGAACATACAATCCATTTATTAAGGTAGCAGCACCATAAACAATATCATTCATAATGATAGAAAATGTACCATTCTTAATACTGAAAATAACTCCATCTCGTTCTAAACAAGAAATTGAAATAATGTTTCTAGAAATACTTGGAACATAAAGACATTTATTCAAATGCAGAAAAAGGTCCGTAGGCAAAATGAGGTCGGCTTCTCCAATAGAATGAGCAGCAACTCTTGCTTCATTACCAACGCGGAGGTCCACCTCGTTCCTCTCCAATCTCCTTGGGCTCCTAAGTACCTGCAACATATTGCAGATGTGAGAACCACAACCGGTATCCAATACCCATGAAGTAGGATTAGCACATGAATAATTCATCTCAATCATGAAAATACCTGAGGTAGAAGCATCACCATGCTTCTTGTCCTTCACACTCTTCAGGTAGTCTGGACAGTTCCTCTTCCAATGGCCTTTCTTGCCACAATGGAAGCACTCAGCATCACCTTTGTCCTTGGATGCTTTCTTACCCTTCTTGTTGCCCTTCTTCTTCTTGGATTTTCCTTTGGGCTTAAGGGAGTCACCTTTAGCAGGCCCCTTACCCTTACCGTTGGCCTTGCTAGGCCCACCAATCAGAAGAGCTTGTGTCTTATCCTTCTTGATAGACACTTCAGCAGTTGTTAACATACTTAACAACTCAGGCAAGCTCACTTGCATCCCATGCATGTGGTAATTCATGATGAATTGACTAAAGGAAGGTGGAAGTGAGGTGAGCACTAAGTCATTACTTAGTTCGACATCCATGATAAAGCCTAGATTTCCTAGCTTCTCAATCAGACCGATAATCTTAAGAACGTGACTGCCAACAGACATGCTCTCAGACATCCTGCAAGAGAACAATTCTCTTGAGGCCTCATACCTCTCATGCCTGCCTTTAATGTCATACAACTCCTTGAGATGTAAGACAATAGAGGGAGCATCCATATGCTCATGCTGCTTTTGCAGTTCAGGCGACATGGATGCCAACATGATGCAGACAATCAACACATTGTCATCAGTGTGCTGTTTGTGGGCCTCGAAATCAAATTCTGCGAACCCATCTTCCCCTTCCCTAGGAGCTACGGGTAATTCGGCATCTAGGACGTAAGCAATCTTTTCGGCCCTTAGAACAATTCTTAGGTTCTGATACCAGTCCATAAAATTTGGACCAGTCAGCTTGTTCGTATCAAGTATGGAGCGCAGTGACAGTGTATTAGTCATACTAATTAACTAAAAAATGTAAAGATAAAATTAATTAATATTCGGTCATGTAGTAAAAACAAATTATTAAAAACTTTAAATAATTTTGCCCCTCCCACTATTTTACCTAAGTCAATGACCCTTCCTTTTGACTTAGAGTTATTCTACTTTTAGAATTTACCTTAGTGGGATTAAGAATGCGATTATTTATTTTAACCCCCGTCTGAGACCGCAAGATTAATTTAAATAATGGATTGATCTTTATCAATGGTATCTCATACCCTTTCTTAACATTAGGTTGACAACTCCTTGTCACTTAGTGGTGCATCTCATGCAACCATCCTAACACTATTACCCTAAGCACATAAGCCCGGCTGGGCCTGCAGCTTATGTCTCAGTTAAGCACTAACCAGCACCCCAAGTGTCTTACACTTCTAATACTACTCTTACTCAACGAAACAGTGGGTCCCAATTGGGTTGTAGAGCACCATTATTTAGAGGAGGTTTGAGTAATATTGGTGGTGGGAGGTAATCATGCGCTTAATAATTTTATTCCTTTTAAGGGTTCATTTTATTAAGTCTCATCAAACGCATTAATATATTATCATGCTAGTCGTAACCTATGTCATACATCTAACGGTTTAAACTAGTCGCAATTGGGCTTGCATAATAATCATACAAACGCGATTTAGTCCAACTCATGCATACTAGACGTCATAAGTCATAAAGCATACATATCGCGATACTCTATCTCATGCATACTAGTCGTATAATAACATACATGCAAATAAAACAGTTTTATTTTGAGATAGTTATGGTGCTCGCTCTTTTGTCCATCTTGCTTCTCAAGCCTCGGCTTCTTGTCGTCTATACGCCACTAGCCTAATTTCTCTAATTAGGATTAAAGAAACTCCAAAACATCTTGGAGGGACAAAATTTAAAATACAAAATTTAAATTACAAAATTTGAAATTCAAATTTCATCTCTTTTAAAAGAGCCCAAAATTACACATTAATTTAAATTTGAAATTTCAAATTCCGGGCACCATGACAATCCCCTTCCTCTTTTGCACTTGAAATGTTAGACAACTCACAAGTACAAAATATTATCACATAATATATATTTTCCACGTATGTCTTGATATTTAACAATTAATTATCAAAACATATTTAAAATTTAAAACTTTTCTTAATTTTTCAATTGGCCGAATTATATAACAATTAATATAATTCTAATTTTGTTGACTCTTTCTCAAAGAACACAAAATTAAATCATGCATATAGCCATCAACACTTAATGGCCGAACCATATACTCATAATTTTCGAAAAACATTTATTGCATGCTCATGAAACAATTCATGGAGAAAAAAAATAAGAAAACAATCAAGGTGTTCAAAACACCTTTCATGGTCGAACTCCACCCTTCAAAAAGGTGCTTCCTTTTAAAACTTTTATAAAGAAAAAGACAACCATGAATATGAATGGATGCATGAACATGGCATTCGAAATAACATGTTCATAAAAACAAAAACTTTAACCGTTTAAAGTATTGTAAATTAGAATCCATTCAAAAAAAATTGAATCTTTAACCTTTAAAGAGATTTTAACCGTGAAAAATATGATTACAAACAAGGTACCATCACCCGTCGATGGTAAAGCAACCGGGCTCTGATACAACTTGAAAGTTCGAAATGGCCTTGAAGGCCGATGCATGCAAGAGGGAAAAATAAAATTTTTCTTTGTGGAATATACATGCACATCAAGATCATGCTTTAGGAAAGCATGATGTTACCTTGTTCGTGAAATCACCAGATGATCAAGGCCGGTCTGAAGGGTTCAGACCCTCTAACGTTGATCCACATCACCCACTCGTCTAGGTGCAAGAACTCCTTCTTGTGAAGCCACCGGATGATCACCACAAAGAGGCTTGCTAGGCGCTCTATGTGTGATGACGGAGGCTAGATGAAAGTGTTTGAAAAAGTGAAGCTCTCAATGTGAAAGCTTCACAAGTGGCGCAGGAGAGAGGAGAGAATAGGCTAGGTTTTCAGAAAAACCCTTGGAGGAACAACTGATCACTTAGGCACATAAGATGAGAGTATTTAAAATAAAATACCAATCAGATTTTTCTCCTAAAAATCTGATCATTAGGCGCTAGATAGGAGAGAGAGAAGTGGAGCTATTTTATTTCAAAAATTGCTAACAGGCTCCTAGAATATTCTCTTGAGAATTGGTTCAAAACCTATTCAAAATTCTGATCAGAAATCTTCATAAGATCAGCTATATGGTGTGCCCCATATAGCCCAAAAAGGTGACCAGATACATCTGAGTAGTTGCATTCAAATTTGAATCAACTCACTCAGATTTTCTCCCAACTGACTGAATCTTCTGGAGCTGATTTTGATGAACAAATCTTGCTCACCAACAACCCAAATCAGCGCCATATATGGCCTTGGATCTTGTCCAAAAGATTCTCTCACGATACTAGTGATTTGTTCCAACAAGATCTCATCTTATCCTTTTGTTATGAAACAACCTTTCATAGGCAATTCAAATTCAAATTCAAATATTTGAATTCAAACATTCAAATATTCAAATTCAAATGTTCAAAATTCAAATTCAAATTTGTAACACCCTCCCTTGTATGCATCCAAGAGAGTTGTTTGCTAAGCGGATTAGAGTTCTTTAATCATACTTTAGAGACTGAAAATCACTTTTACAATGCCAATTAAAAACTTATAATTGAAACCGGGTTCGTCACAAAAATCAGAGTATACTTTCAAAATTTCTCAACTACTGAAAATATAACTTTCCTGGCAGACCTTGCTGTCTTTAAAAATTCTTATAAAATTCACTTCAACGATTCAAAAAAATATTCTTTGTAATCTAGAAACTAGACATCTGGGGCTTCACGTTGATATAAAATAATAGTAATTTGAAGTTTGTTTGCCCCTCGAAACATAACTCGCAAAATAAGAGAGAAAGTAGTGGAAATATCACAAATGTCCTGGCTGGTAAAATTCATAATAAATCGATATTTCAGAATTTCTTTGCAAGGTTTATATATAATGAAACTAGACACCTGGGGCTACGCGTGCATATAAATTATGAGAAAATCGGAGCTCCGTAGCCCCAGTACGACAACTTACAAAGTGCTCGCAAAGACTTTTCAAAACTCAGCATTTAGATAACATATCAAAATCCTTTTCGCAAACGTTTCAACATCTGTTTCGAAAATACTTGCTGGTCATAAAATCGTAATGCAATAATAAAATCATAGTTCACAGTAATAAAAGCTTCTCAATTTCATACAGTCATCCATAAAATATCACATCAATAGCAGCATGCCCAAACAGTAGAAGCCAACAGCAAATATCCAAGTCCTCCAAAAGCTTTTACGTCCTCCTGCCATTTTGTAAAAATAGCAGCCCCAAAGGGGTGAGAGAAAATCTCAGTAGTGTGGCAACAAAACCATAATGCAACAATATTAACTAGGCACAAAATCATAAATAGTCACTTCAAACATTTAATCATTTTCATCATATATCATAACGCGTATATAACACCCTTTTTTCCTTTACGCTCATAGCACCGTCGTGCGTGTAGCATCACAGTGGGTATTCCTAATGGCTCCCATGAAGGTGAATCCCACTGTGGAACCTATGCGGACTGAAGCCAATTGTCCCCTCTCCTGGTACCAGGCATGCCTATATGATGCATGCTCAGTCACATGTCCTCAATACAAATATATATATATATATATTCAAGATGTCATGAATGAAGTATACATGCCATGTTATGCAATCGCACCCAACAGAAAAATGTATTATGATGTAAAATGCATGCATATATAATATCATCCTTTCATATTCTTACCATTGGCTCATCATCATCATAACATACATAGGACAAATGTGAGCAACACATCACAATTCCATACACTAGCCAATAGTCACATTAGGTAATACCGCCTACACATACCTTGGCACTTTACTTTTAAATCAAGCATTCCAAACATCATCGAACAGTCCAATTATCTAAGAACTTGTGCACCTAGACAAACACATATATCAAATCAGAATTCATTACGTTCATTTTCTATATATTACACAGCTGTTCCATTCTCCTAATCCTTAATTTACAATCGGTTTCCCTATTCATACATTAAGCGAATTTTCTGCCCTTATATTGATTTTCCAATTGTCCTAAATTGACAAAAAAGTCCAAGGTAATCTAAACATGCACATTCGGTCTTCAATCATCAATTAGGTGCTTAATATATTTAGTTTATGTTTACTATACACTGCATACAATTACCATTACTCTAGGTACTTGAGTTATCATTGAGCTTCACGGCTCTTAACAAAATAAATTTTTATGACTTATGTTTGGTCTCCTTACTCATGCACAAGTGTCAAAAATCCACAATTCTTTATACACAGAGGTTCGGTTTTTTTCATTATCCACATGTGCTTATAATTCTTATCATTTTACATGGCATGTCCTACATGATTTTAGAGGGCATTAAAGAGGCTAAAGAATGCTGTCTACATGGATTGATAAAGGTTATTTTTCCAAGTTCTCAAATTCGGTTTTTTTTTTTTTTGTACTTAAAGGTACTATGTTCAAGGCTGATTAGTTGAGCAGAAATAAGAGAAAAGGGATGACCAAATACACCCCCCCTTTGAATGTATGCAGGGGCCGCGTAGTGTGAGGAAACCATGGCTTGGAACTCAATTTACCTTCTTACAAATCCTAAACCTCTAACCGGTTTTCCATGCTTCAATGCTAAAAAATTTTCTGCCTTTAAATTTATTCTAACAATTACTTGCAATTAACAATACTTCAAGGTCCCTCAAGCATACATATTTGGTTATATAATTATTAGTCCAAGGAATCCTACTTTTCTTTAACTTGGCACATCTTATGTAGCTTAGGCATGGTTATCAAATCTTTAGTATGCTGACCTCTTAAGCTAACTCTAGCAAAGTTAAAATTAATTTTTTTCTGGTTCATGGTGCAGCCCCACAACACCAACGGAAACCATTTCCAAGCTCACCAATCTACTTTTCCTTATGCTTACAATCACCAAGTCTAAGGGTTTTCCAATGAGCAGAACGCAAGGATCGTAATTGACAAAATTTTAATCTTCCAATTTACACATGCAGTGGCTGAACAGAACAAAGAGAATGGAATAGAAAAACAAAATAAAGACATATATCTCTCTCTTACATGCAAGGGGCCGAATCAGAGAAAGGAAGGGAAGGCTTGGGGACTCAATTTGCTTTCTTGGCTGCATCCAAGGATCATCCATTCGAGTGAAGGACAACCACTGCACTCTCCACTGTCCCAAAACGTAGGAACCAGCTGCATGCAGGGGATGAGTGACTCCAACACGGCAGAACTTCTCCTACTTGAAGTGGACTGTGCGCACAAGAGGAGGGAAGGATGTTGGGCTTCAACCTCCTTGCCTAAGGTTACACGGCTGACCAGAATTAAAAAGATGAATATGCTTGACGTTTTGCCGTCTCCTTAGGAAGGTCACGCATTGAGAGCGGGATGATGGAGGAAGGGAATGCAGCATTGTTGGTGCTTTCCTCTAAGAGGCTTACGGTTTGTGAGAATCATGAGAAAAGGTTGCAAGCATTATTTGTGATGTTTACCTTGAGGGGCTGACGGTTGTGAGGGAGATAATGAGGTGAAGGTATTCTGTATGCAAGGACTAAATTACCTCAGCTTGTTTCTCTCCATGGATTTTCGGCTTGAAGAAAAAGAATGAGTTGCATGTGTGATCCCTTTCTGACCACTTGGCACACATGCAATAAGTTTTACTTTAGTTTAATTCTGGACATAATGACCCCAAAGGAGAAACAGATCAGAATTGTTTGTCCTCACTACGTTATTGGATGATGGAGGGATAAGGTGATATAGGTGTATATCCTTTAGCCAATCAAGAATGAATGTACCGATTTTGTTTTGGGGATAGGCTAATGATCATGAGTAGGAAACTATAGGGCTGTCTCATGCTCCAATTAAAGGCTTGGGCCGTGGCCCATGGGGGAAATTGGACCCGAGAATTCACCTAAGCTAATTAATTTTATGAAGCAAACTAAAAGTAACTAGGATTTCAGAAAGAATACTTAAAAATATGCCCATCTTATACTTACTTAGATTTTTAATTCATAACATACATTCACCTTTACCATGGCATATTAAGTGAATTCCTAAAGGTAACCAATCTTATATTAATTATCATTTGATATTCCCACTAAATAATAACTCAGGCTTCTTTATCTTTTGCAATTGAACTTACTAATATCCCCTTTTTAACTAGTACTTTGAATCTTTTAAAACATTCACATATACTCGCTTATAGCAACGACACAATAATTTTCCCAATTAAACTAATTCCACCCTACACATAAGTTTAATTCGAATTTCAAGCATGCTTCACACTCTAAATTACAATTTATAGAAGATTCTAATTTTTGCGGGATGTTACAAAATTTCAAATTTCAAATTTCAAATTCAAAATTCGAATTTCGATATTGAAATTCAAAATTCAAAATTTCAAAATTCAAATTTCGAATTCCAAAATTCAAAATTTAAATGTTTGATAATTAATTTAACTAATTAAATTAATTAGTAATGTCTTGGACTATCTAAGCCCATTACAATGAACCATGCGCCCTCCACCCCTTTAGGTGGAGTTCCAAACAACTTCTTGGGCTAATAACTATTATTAGGCCCAATACCTTTAATGCTAGAGCATCTAGACAATTAGATGTTTGTGTGTGACCCATTAGGTCCAACTTAGCCACTGACATAAATGGGCTTGGGCCCAATAAGCCCACAACCCATCTAATGACAACACAGAGCACTAGCAATGCTTTGTTGCCCCAGAACTAGTTAGATTAATGATTTGATCATCCTATTAAACATATTTGGTTGCCGTATATATTTCCTTTCGTCTCGGTTACCTTCCCATAAAACCTAGGTTAAGGAAGCGTATCAACCCCTGCGGTTTAGGGTAAGCTTTATTCGAAATAGGGAATCTTCAATTTACAGACTCTAAAGGCAGATCATCTCATGATCTCTTTTACTATGCACAGATTCCCGAGTCCCTGTAAATGTCATCCCGATTTCTCCGGTTTACAGATAACCTAATCTCTCACAGAGATTTGACGAATTCCTTCAGCTTATCACCCTAGCCCTGTGTTCTTTCAGGACAAGCCCAACAGTATACCTATGAGTCTCCATGTTGTAGGAAGACGAGGTGCACAATCAAAGCATGCCTTCTAGAACACAGTCTAGGTAATAACTTCTGGTCTTAGGAAAGACATACCCAAATATAAAGAGACTACTCTAATGATACTCTCTGTGAGAGTTCCTCATAGAGTCTCTTTGTGGGCCCGTTCAGTGCGAGCTATACCCTTATAGGTCCACCCACGACTTTAGCTAAGACATCTCCATATCTGTAGCACATGAGGTCTATACCTTGTATCCATATACAAATAGATAAGTCGTGCTAGTCTTACCCGAGATTACTGACCCCATTCTCAGTATCTCTAGACTAGGAACATAAAATTAGGAATAAACATCCGGTATTCTTGAATCATCATGATTGTGGTCTCATCACAGATACTCAAGAGATACCTATTTTATTTCACGGGGTTTATCAAGTTATTCATAATATATTGACATTAATATCGAGACATAATTATGAAACAAGATAAAGAGTGCTTTTATTTATTTGCGACAATATTAAAAAGGTCTACATCTATGTCCTTATTTAATCATAAGATTGTCTCTAGGACACCAAAATACTAACATTAGCTTCAGGCATTAGACAAGATATTTCGGGTCATGCAGTGCACAGATCCGCAGAAGTTGATGATCGCTACTTACATGCTAGAGGGCGATGCCCATGAGTGGTGGACAAACCTTTCTCATGTCTACGAGATGCAGGTCATGTGATGACTTGGCCTATGTTTGAGGACTTCTTCTTGGGTCAGTACTTTCCATATGACGCTCAGGAGAGGCAGCAAGGAGAGTTTGACAGATTGGTTCAGGGCTCGTTGTCTGTGGACGAGTACCTGGCCAAGTTCAACCAGTTGGTGAAGTTTGCACACTTCAGGATGGCGAGGCCTACTCCTACATTTCTGGCTACTAAGTTCCGCAGGGGACTTAGTGAGGATATTGCTAGTTACCTAGTTGGTTCTGCTTCTAGAGATTTTGGGACACTGGTTCAGCAGTGTCGTGATATTGAAGATTACTACAGCTCGAGTAAGGCCAAGAAGGCCAAGGTTGCTGAGGCGACGAAGGTTGCAGCTGGTAGTTCCACTTCTTGGCGAGACAAGAAGTTTGGGAACAAGGGCAAGGGTAAACAGTTGGCAGCTCGGCAGGCGCCGAGTCAGTTCAAGAGGACTTCTGTTCAGGGGAGTGCAGCGAGACCTCCTGCTCCCAGGTGTTCGGGATATGGGAAGACTCATTTTGGGCTATGCTCTACCGGCCAGTTGATTTGCTTTTAGTGTGGCAAGGAGGGCCACTTCTCCAGAGACTGTCCGTCAGCGACAGCGAGGGCTACTGCAGTGCAGGCAGTGCCACTTCAGATTGTTCCCCTTCCACCTACTTCGGCACCGGTAGTGCCACCATCTTCTGGGAGAGTTTATACTCTGGATCGTCAGCAGTCGGATCGAGCTCCGAACCTTGTCAGAGGTACTTTTACGATTGGTTCATCAGCTGTTGATATGTTGTTTGACTCTGGGGCTACGCATTCTTTTGTTGCTACCCCAGTTGCTGTGGGGCTTGAGTTGCCCAGTGATGTGCTTTCTCCACCGATGCGGGTGACCACCGCCACCGGAGAAAGATGTGATGCTACCACTGTTCATCGCGATGTGGCGTTTCAGTGGGATGGCCGCGAGTTCTCGGTAGATCTGATAGGATTGCCGATGGCCAACTTGGAGGTTATTCTGGGCATGGATTGGCTGTCCAGAAATTGTGTGATCATTGATTGTTGTGCCAAGCGTGTAGTGTTGTCTCCGTGTGATTCCACAGCCAGTTCCTCGCCGTACATTTCGTTGCTGCAGGCTAGGAGAGCCTTGAGAGCAGGGGCATTTGGTTATGTCATGTTGGGAGATTTGGTGAGTGGTACACAGGAGGACATCACCGGTATTCCTGTGGTGAGGGAGTTCCTCGAGGTGTTTCCTGAGGAGATTCCTGAGTTTCCGCCACAGAGGGAGATAGAGTTCTCCATAGATCTGTTGCCTGGTGTGGGGCCGATTTCTTTAGCTCCATACCGGATGTCGCCACCGGAGTTGGCAGAGCTGAAGAAGCATATTAAGGATCTTTCAGCGAAAGACTTCATTAGACCGAGTGTGTCTCCTTGGGGAGCACCGGTTATCTTTGTGAAGAAGAAGGACGGGACAATGCGATTGTGCACCGACTACAGGCAGCTGAACAAGGTGACAATCAAGAACAAGTATCCCCTTCCTCGGATTGATGATCTGTTGGATCAGCTCAGGGGTGCTTGTGTGTATTCCAAGATTGATCTCCGGTCTGGATACCATCAGATTCGGGTGAAGCCGGAGGATGTCCCGAAGACCGCATTTCGCTCGAGATATGGTCATTTTGAGTACTTGGTGATTCCGTTCCGTCTCACCAATGCACCTGTTGTGTTCATGGATTACATGAACCGGATTTTCCAGTCGTACCTGGATCAGTTTGTGATCGTCTTCATTGACGACATTTTGATTTACTCCAAGACGGAGGAAGAGCATGTGGGGCATTTGAGAACTGTTCTGCAAGTGCTAAAGGAGAAGAAGCTGTATGCGAAGCCTTCCAAATGTGAGTTCTGGCTCAAGTTTGTGAAGTTCCTTGGGCATGTTATTTCTGCTGAGGGAGTTGCAGTGGATCCGAACAAGATTGAGGCCGTACTGGATAGGGAGAGACCCAAGACAGTTACGGAGGTGAGGAGCTTTCTGGGTTTGGCAGGTTACTATCGGAGGTTCATCAAGGGATTCTCCACCTTGGTTTTGCCATTGACTCGCCTTACTCGGAAGGAGACTCCATTTGTGTGGACTCACGAGTGTGAGGTCTGTTTTCAGGAGTTGAAGGAGATACTGACTACTGCTCCTGTGTTGGTCCTTCCTGATCCTGCGCTTGAGATTGAGCTTTATACCGACGCCTCCGGGAAGGGGCTAGGTTGTGTGTTGATGCAGTTAGGCAAAGTTATCGCCTATGCTTCGAGGCAGTTGAAACCTCATGAGGAGAACTACCCTAATCATGACTTGGAGTTGGCTGCTATTGTGTTTGCTTTCAAGATTTGGAGGCATTATCTTTTTAGTTTGAGGTTTGTGGTGTTCAGTGACCACAAGAGTTTGAAGTACCTGTTCGACCAGAAGGAGTTGAACATGAGGCAGAGGAGATGGATGGAGTTCATAAAGGACTACGACTTCGAGCTAAGGTATCATCCTGGCAAGGCCAATGTGGTAGCTGATGCTTTGAGTCAGAAATTCAGTAGTTCATCCAGTTTGTTACTTGGTAACTTCGATGTGGTTGAGAAGTTTCGCAACTTGGCAGTGACCGCTCCGTTTGAGAGTGTACTTCTCGGATTGGAAGCATCTGATGTGGTGAACGAGCTGCTTGAAAAGATCAAAGAGGCACAAGTTCATAGAGAGTGTCTGGATTATGTGAAGAACCAAGACGATGTGTCTTGGAATGATGATGGATTGCTTTTGTTTCAGCAGAGGATTGTAGTTCCTCGAGGCCCGTTGACAGAGGAGGTTATGGCAGAAGGCCATAAGGGTCAGTTTTCTATCCACCCTGGTGCTAC